AGCAGAGCGGGGTGGGGTGCCCCGTTGTCACGTCCGTCGTCTGGCATTGTTAACTAACGACAAGCACCGGAGAGAGAACGAACGCTGGGTTGGCCACGACGAGAGCGCAGTAGCTTCGAGGCGCTCGCAGGGGAGTGGAGGCTGAGGTGCCGACGATACGACATATAAGGTTACGTAGATACGTAATATATTAATTCACAACTATTAAATTAAGGTAAAATTAAGGGACTCACAACATACTCCTCTAGAGGGTCAAGAGAAACGCTCAATACTGGCGCTGTGTGCTCATGAAATACTTTGCTTGTCTTGTCTGTCACCGACACCAGTTTAATCGTGAAGTCACTGAATATAAACACACATGTATAAATTCTCACAGGTGTTTGTGGAGTCATTACCATAGGACTTTCATCTCTAAATTACCCAGATTTTGACTTTGCAGCTATAGGTGTTATGGAAAGGAAGAAAAGAAATAAATTAAGGCCAGGTTGTCCCTGGTATGGTTTTACCGCAAAAACACATTGTACCTTGAGCCTGCCAAGAGCAGACTTCCACTCTTGTTGAAGCACATGTGGCTAACTGGTGCTGTGAACCTTGTGATGATCCCTTCTGGTTCTCCCATTGGAAAGCCATGCAACTGCACTGAAAGTGTATCTGAAGCCGTAGCAAATGTGTCTTTCTACGTATAAAAAGAGAAAATAACAAACAGCTTGCAGTCAGGTTGTATACATATGATTAAACACTTCTGTTTCTGTTGTAGTACATGGCAGTATCCAAATTTGGGATCAAGGCAACGAAATTCTTAATTCGATCTTTGCTATGAGGCGTGAATAAAGGAACACACGTCTATATATGATATAAGGTACGCATGCATTATATATAGTATACGTACTAGCTGATACAGAAATAAACTCGCCTAAATTATAGTTCATTTTATTACTTATGGTTCTAATTTGAATTTTTAAGTTTGGTTATATATACACTGTCACAGCGACAGCCACAGCTTGGGTGCGATTTAAGACATCGACATCGTTAATGAATACTTAAAATTTTATTAAATATGAATGATTAATATTATACCTTGCAGGCAACCGCAAATACGTTCTCTCCGATTTGGTGTGAGATTGCATCGTTGTCATCTAGACTTTCCCAGATCCTTACATACCCATCGCCACCGCATGTCAGCATGTATCTGTGACAAGCAATCGACAATGAGAAAAACACAGTGTCAGTGACACGTTGTTACTGACGCGGAGAGGGTCTATATATGTTCCCCAGGGCAAGGCCCCAGGGTACTATCGGAGGGTATAACCTGGGTACGGTTCGATATATCGGAACGTACCCTGGTACTATCTAATATGCCGGACCGTACCTCGCCTACTCCACTAACGATAAACGAGTCTAGGGAGTCGCCTACGCCTATATACTCCCTAACCCTAACCCTAACCATATATATCAGAGTTACCGGGTACGTTCCGATATATCGAACCGTAACCAAGGGTACCTCCCGATACTGCGATAGTACCCTGAGGGACATAGACCCTCTCAGCGTCACTGACAGTGACAGTGAGTAAGTGAAAAAGGTACATTCAGTTCACGTCCTAGGAGTAGGAGTAGGACTGGCACGAATGCGACCGTCGAACACAGTGTCATACACTGTACAGTGATACACAGTCCATGATGATGAGAAATCAAACAAAATCTATCTCTGATCAGTGATCGGGCGGTGTGAAAAATTCACCATTATTAACTCACCTGCCATTTTCATCATAACATAGATCGGTGTGGCCCTCGCTATGGGCATAACGCATAGGTTGTCTAGTCGCTGGCATTTTCGGTTTACGAACACTGTTGACTGATGTTCACATTTCACGCAAACTTCCCGCGCAAAATGGGGTCAAATTTTGCACAGTTCCGGTACATGTCAAATTGTGTCATACGAAATAGCACGTAGCGATTACTTCAATCTCCCCATCATTCAAATTAAGCGCGGAACAGCCAGTGGGATGTAGACTAAAAAATTAATAGATATTTGTAATAAAACAACTATGAGATGGACAGTGACTTCACTATGCAAACCGTCACATCACCCAGCTTTGCCGAACTGAACACCGAGCAAGGGACAAGTTATGATGCGGACCGATAGATGGCGATAAACACGCCGCGCTTTTCAATCAGCTTCTCCTCAGGAAAACAAAACTTGACATTATTATATTATTACTATTAGTAACCTAAACTGAAGCGCATAAATGGAAGGCGAAATTAGTGTTATATCAACGTGTTTATTTAGAGGCTCGGAATATGTAGTCAGTATGGTTACGAGTGGTTCATCTGCTGTTCCGACGTTAGAGATTCAAGTCGAGCATCACGATAGCGGGCAACGTTGGGAGGGGGCGTTCGGCGTCTCATGTAAGCACTGCCACTACTCAAAACTAAACTACTAGTACAGTACTACTACTAGTACAGTACTACTACTAGTACTACTACTACTCACTAGTAGTACTGCTACAACTATTCTGCTACCGTTACGCCCACGATTATGCTCCTAGTACCATACCACCAGCAACGTCAGCGTATTTGCAGTACATTGAGATCTATGTTCCCTCAATTATTTTTGATATGATTCATTTGATTGGTACCTAGAAATGTCACTAAGTTTATCTCAGCATCTGAGTTAAAGCATCTAAACCCCTAGATACAATAATGTAACCCAAACCCAAGAGGATAGGGTTACAAAGCCTCCCTATCCTTTTGTGCGGA